TATAATCCGTACAGTACTGCACGGAAAAATTGACCATTTTATCCACTACAATTGCATTGCTCAAATGTGCTGTTATTGGTACCATTTACTACTGAAAATATCAACGAGATGTTTATTTATATTTGAAGACATATTAAAGGCTTTAACGCTTGTTTTCGACTCTGCACTACTATTCATGATTGAACAAAACTTTTGGCAGGTACTGTATGAAAAAGTATGTTTAATGAAGAGTCGAGAGTATAATGAACTTTTTTCTCCCTACCTACGATTTTGCCAGCGCACATCGAAGACATTGGAATCGCTAGAGAAAGTAAATGAAATATACGTAGCAGTATATTTGATTTTCCCGTATTTTTTGCTAAATAATAACAATTTTTTTTAGTTAAAAACAGCTGGTAAGGTGTTACATAACGTTGGAAGGGGGAGAGGATAAAGCAAAACGTTATAAATGGAAAAAGGGGGGAGAAGATCGTCAGAAACTGCCTTATGTATTATTTGAGCTACTTCCTATATATCTTATTTCTATATGGTTATATTACACGTAACATCTAAATTGAATCGAAATTAATATAAAACTCATTAATTATACCCCTTTCATTGTCCAAGAAGACTATTGATTTATTTATTTGACTTGACTTAGCCAATGAAATAAAGGAATGGAATCAGTCGACTTTACTGGATCATTGGAAATCAGAAGGTGGTGATAACCTGTCATTCAATAATAGACACGTTACAATTCTTCTTTACTTAACGTTTGACGCTAAAAGCATTGTTCAACGATCATAGACAAAAAAAAAACTTTTGGGTGTTTCATTTTTTGGCGCCTCTTTTTACAATAAGCCATATCTTCCTATTTGCTCAAGACATATACAAATATACTTACATGGAGTGCTATTACCTGCCAAAACCGTTGTACTGCACGTCCGTTTAATAGGTGGCACCATTCAAAATCTCGGTCGGTGGAAACAGCGATTTAAGCCCATAATTTGTAAATTTTTCATAAGTAGTTTTAACTACAGTGTTGGTTATAATTTTCTTTAAAAGCAGTAATCAAAAGTTGCATTTAAATGGTGAGATTTAAGATAATTTACATTTATGTGTAAGCAATTAGAGGTAGTGTTGGATGCTTTGATTATTTTGAATGTAATTCATTTCGTGACTGAAGGTAGTCCAAATCATTAAGAGTTTCAAATAGGCTAGCAGGCTGTGCCAAACAATATTCCTTCGTGTTGTTGAACATCTTACGAATGTTTTCCAACATATCAACTTCAGTATTTCTTGTAGCTACCATATTTTTTCACGAAGCTAATCTAAACTATCGGCACGTTCGTTTCTGGTTGTGCCGATAAATTATTTTCGGTGTTGTATCCCAGTCTCAAAAGGTTAACGCATTTGTCTGAATTTAGATTGCTGATAATAAAAATAGGACCTAATAAGAGAATTTCCTAAAATAAAGCGTAAATGTAAGGGTTCCTAATTGCGTTTGGATGTAAGGAATGTAACTAAATTATTTTTGCAATTGTTATTTTTTTATTGACTGTTTATTTTACATTATGTTTTACGTGTACGACTTATCTTACTATTTATCAATTTTCGTCATATGTATGTATGAACGGATTTTAAAAGGTTTTTGTATCTACAATTCATATATTTTAAGGTTTAATTCTCATTCTCCATGTACAATACAAAAAGGAGGATAGGACTTTGGTAAATAACTAAAAATTATGTTGGTTACACTTAATTATTGACTTGTCGATACTGACTCGTGACTTATATGACTTATACATGCTTATGGTCTGGAACAGCGATTCTCAACCTGTGAGGCGCGCCCTCCATACATCCATATCGATAAAAAATGAGAAACATTAAAAAATTACTGTAGTTGTTAGGCTTTCACGACCGGCGTATATCGATGCGGTGTTTTCTTCTGGGTTTTTTGGCCGTGGTCCGTGGAATTTTATTTTTCCAAACGTTTCTCCTTTCTTTGCTGACGGCATCTCCAGTGGTGAATGGGCAGGTGCTGAGTCGCAACTGATGCAGCACCCGGAAGAAAACGCCGCATCAATTAAAAAATTTACTGAAATTAAATGTCAATTTATTTACCTATTTGTGGTAATTGCTAACGTTTATTTTCAAGATAGAAGTATAGATTTAGCGCCAAACTAAAAGAATCCAAGATTAGAATTACGACACTATTCCTCCAAAAATTATTTTATGAGTGGAGTGGCGATGAGAATTGTGATTGAAAACTGGGTCGCAAATACCAAAAGGTTGAGAAACGCTTGTCTAGAAGCTACTGACGCCTTACATTTAGTTCCTTCTAAAACATCGTCAACACGTGCTCTGTATATTCTAAAATTGGTTTCGTTCGGCGACAGTGTATTTGTAAGCATATTTTGAAATCTGTCTGAAACGAACCACAGTTCGTGCAAACCTAACGAAGGATTGTTAATGACCTGTTAATAAAAAGAAATATTAATTATGTTGGTCCTGCATTAAATAAAGTTCAAGGTAACTAAGGATTGGAAGGTTTTTATTTTTGAAGAACCACCTTTTGCCTCTATTTGGTATGCTTTTTCAAGGTAGGTTCTTCAGTTATGTAAGAAAAAGTTCCAAATAGTTCGGTGCTTATAACTACTACTTATATTGAAATAAGCATTGATTTAAACAGCTCAATTATAAATAAAATAATAAATAATTAAATATGTAGTTAAAAAGTAACACTGACTTAGAGACAGCACGAATATAAATAAAATAATAAGTTAAAGTATAATTATAAACCAAGAGGCTGCAATAAAAGACAATACTCTATAGAGCACAGAGCGTTCGAAATGTGGTGTTACAGGCGAATGATTAGGATATCGTGGATTGAGAAGGTTAGAAATGAAGAAGCATTAGAAAGAATAGCATAACAGAGAACTCTATGAAAGTCAATTAAAAATAGGCGAGATAGGATAGTAGGACACTTTCTTGGGCATGAAGGTCTAGTCAGAGACATATTAGAGGCAGAAACGGGAGTTAGGAAGGGTAGAGATTAGATTATTGTTCGCAAATAGTTAAGGATGTGCATTGTTCTAGTTTTAGAGAAATGCGAAGATTAGCTCAGGATAGGAAAGAGTTGAGGAAAGTGTCCAACCAGTTTTAGGACTGACGGCCTTATAATGATGAACCTGTATATTTTCTCATATTTAATTTCTTCGTTTAATTTTGGGTTGTTAAATGTTAACAGTTCCCTATACCTATCTCGAGTGGCTGCTTAAATGAGACTAAATAGCATCTAAACCATAAAATGTGTACGTTGTTCAAAGCCGGAAATATCGAAACCTACTTTTGAGAATCTTACAAGACGAATAGCTTTTTATTTAAAAAAGAATAATCCATATTAAATGATACCCTTCCACGCAAAATTAAAAACACTTTCTACTGATATAAGACCCTGAATATAAAATAATCGACATTTTCTGGAAAACTTTTAGAGATATATATTTAAAATCTTATATCAATAGCAAGGACTTCTAATTCTGCATCGAACGTCATTACTATACGTAACGAAAACGTAACTCACTCTCCGACCATACGAAGACACCCCTCCCCCACCTGACGAGTCACGTAGTATAGGTACGTTCCCTAATATGGGTCATTCCATTTGAAAAAAAAATTATTCGTTTTTTAAGATTGTCAAAAGTAGGTTTCGACATTTCCGGTTCTGAGTATCGTAGACATTTTATCCATAGCAAAGAAGATACGGTAATTCATGCTACAACGAACAACCCAAACGGCAGGTTTTTAGCTGATTATCGTATTTTTTGTTCTCAAAAACAGCTGAATATCTCAAAAACTACTTCAAGAAGGTATAGCGAACTGTTAACCATGTCGACCTAAAATTATACAAAGAAACCAAAGAAGATTTTGATAGATTAAAATTATTTCAATATAATATAGTGTGTAAAAAATTTGTTCAAATGAGATGTGGAGGCTTTTGAAAGTTCAACCCTTAATTGCTATACGTATGGTTCAATTTTCTTTTTGACTTAACTTACCTTAATTCCAGTGATAAATTGGAGTGACGTCTCGTTATAATAAATTGTATCTATATTTTCTGGGCCATATTCGGTAGCAGTATTCCAACAATTTAATGTTGTTTCGTGCGCTAAACCAAAGTATGAAATTCCGTCTTTGTCGATGGCTTCGGATGCGCTTTGAGATGGTCTTCTTCCTCGGTATGTCTGAAGTATGAATCATATTGCCACATTTGTTACTAATAATATTTTGTAGACTGAAGCGTTTACAATAAAGAAACATTATTCAAAAATAAGTAAATATTTGTTATGCAATACAATATACCTAGCGCAATTAGTTAAACATGAAATCCTTTTGATTTGGTTGCGATTCTACACAAACAAATTTTTAGTAGTATTTGTTCCGGACTCCGGATAGATCCTTAGCTAAGTGTTGTTTGGGGGGGGGGACTGATTACCCAACTGAAGTTTTACACACACACACGCACGCACGCATCCACGGAAGTTTGGTTTGAATTGGAAAGCATTTATCAATCCAAAGGACCCGCACGAAGCCACATTGTAGAATGAAGATTCGGGCTATAGGGCCGTGGTCTAAGTGAACTATTCCGTCCAGACGTTTCGTCAGCTACTGCGGCTGACATCCTCAGTGGTATTGCTGCGTTGACAACGTGAACGTAGATTATATCTCGATGTCTCGACAGCGACTGGAAATATAATCTACGTTCACGTGGTCAACGCAGCACTACCACTGAGGATATCAGCCTCAATAGCTGACGAAACGTCTGGACACAATAGTTCACTTAGACCACGGCCCTGTAGCCCGAATCTTCATTCTACTATTGATTCCGGCCGTGAAAGCCTTTGTTCTTAAAAAGTCACATTGTTAAACCAATTAAATCTTCAAAGATTAGAAGAAAACGGCGATGTCAAAGAGCACCTTACCAAATTTTTCGATGCAGTGGATAGATTAGAAGAGATGGGAGTTTGTACAGACAACGGCTTGCTCTCAATTATGTTATTATATATAGTCTTCTTAAGAAATTTGAAAATTTCCGATGTGCAATTGAATCCAGAGAATGGTTACCTACTCCCGAAGCTCTCTGTATAAAAATTGTAGATGAATATGAAGCTCGTCAACATGATGCCCACGGGTCAACTCAAGGTGCATTACAAAAGTCGATCGAGCCTAATAAAATGCAGTTCAAATTTCGTTGCCACAAATGTCGAAAAATTGGACATAAATCTGCTGAGTGCACTGGACCCAAGAGAACCTAGAGAGGGAACAATGTCGACGTCACATATTTCACTACTCAAGCAAACCGAGTTTCTAACGCCTCAACGCCTGGACATCTCACCTATGTAAAGACCCTGAATTTAACGAAGAAAGACGTCGGTGACGTGAATCTGACAATGGAACAGCCAAAATTCTTAACGAATCGCCAAAGACAATTACAGAAATTACATTGCCGAATACGTTACATATTCCCAAATTAAAAACGAACTTAATGTCAGTTTCCAAGATTACCAACCGCGGATTCAAAGAATCATTCAAAAGAAATAGAGTAGAAGTACTAGATGGTGCTGGAAACGTTAAAACGACGCCCAAACGTATCCGATACTTATATTATGTGCGCGAATACCGCGAACTGAGGCCCAAAAGCGCATCGTTTACTACGGATTCTACAGTTCCACAGCTATCACTCAATGAATGACATAAAAGAAGGGGGCATCTCAACATAGGAGACTAAAAGAAAACCTCAAGAAACGGTCTACTCACTGGAATAAATATCGAAGAAAAAGACGTCGACTTAAAGTGCGAGAACTTCAAAGGAAAACTATTGCGACCCCCTTTTTCAAAACATCATGGGAAAGCACCTGAAGTCCTAGAAGTCATTCACACTGACGTATGCGGTAATATGCAGACGGAATACATGGGAAAGGCATGATTCTTCGTTACATTCACTGACGAAGCTACGCGTTTGAGTCAAGTTTGTTTTATTAAGTCTAAAGACGAAGTCATTAATAAATTTATCGAATTTAAGGCAAAATTCAAAGCGACAATGGTACCGAATATGTGGACAGAAAATTCAATAAACTGTTAAAGTCATCAGAAATAACAAGAAGACTATCAGTACACTACCACCCACAACAAAATGGAACTTCCGAGTGCAGAAACCGAACTTTGCTAGATATGTCGTGATGTCTACTCATACAAGCTAATTTACAACCGAGCTCCTGTGCCGAAGCGGTCAACACCGCGCACTATTTGCGCAATCGCAGTCCGACTATCAGCCTAAATGATAAAACACCCTACGAAGCATGGTATAGTAACCCGCCGAATGTGTTTCACTTGGGGATATTTGGTTGCAAGGTGCATTATCTCGACTCGACTGTCGAAAAGAACAAGTTCAGATCCCCTACAAAGGAAGGTATATTGGTAGGATATTCAGAGACTTCGAAAAGCTACAGGATTTGGAGCCTGATCGAGGAAAGAGTTCAGATTTCCCATGACGCTAAATTCATGGATATGAATACACATGATTCCAAATTCGAAATAAAGAACCATGAACCCAACGTAGTTGAACATTGTATATCGAAAAACTTACATGGAATATTTCTGGGGATGATTGGGGATTACTCTCAAACCTGGTACGATTTCTGAGATCTGACGTGTAAACAAAGTTCTCAGTGATACTGGACATGGCGTGATAGAAAAGTATCCTATCACTTCCGGGTTTGTAAGGTGAAAGATCCATGCCCAATATTCCATCCAATAACTCGAAGCTAGTTCCTGAAAAAAAGTTTACAAATGACTGTCTTATATTTCTGCTGCTCTATTCACCCATTTTATTAAATTAAGTGGCTACATTAGTAATGTGAAACTGCAGTACACACTCAACTGTATATCAAACTTTCCATTAAATATAATTTTCATTAATTGTTTCAATTTTGTTTTTCGCCATTGAAGATGTGGGGTGTAAATTTCTTACCTTGAATATCATAGGTTCCAAAGTTAGGGTCAGGATACATTGTTTCGTCAGTTGCTCTCCATGAAACTCCCAAGGTTGGGTTGTAGACAATGATGGAAAATGCTAGAGCATCTGCGACATACACCATGGTGTCGTTGCATTCTTCATCTCGCACATCTACAATCGGAGTTACGAAAAGTGATCTGTACTCGTATTGACTAGAGGGTATTTCGTATCTATATAGCAATGTATCCTAAAAATAAATAATATTTTTGTCATAATTAAGACAATACCATTTTGTTGTTCCAATATATCAAGATTGATATACTTGATAATAAGCTACTTCGGTGCAAACTGAATCACTTGGTATACTTACTGTTTCCAAGTCAAATGCTAATATTTGCGGGGGACAAATCTGCCCGTTGTTTCTATCTCCTGAATCAAGTAACCATAGTCTGCCGCATTCGTCAATCTAAAACAATATGATAATATCAGCTATTTTATATTGCATCCGTAGCAAATGTCAATGACAGGAATAGCTTTACCTCTGGAACGTTAGACGTAGATGATATTCTAGTGGGGATAGTCAATTTAGATATCATAGTTTTGTGAAAACATGATGGAGTATACAAACTGACTCTCCATTTTTAGAAAGCAACTTTAAATCCGAATCTTCAACTACAGGTATAATTAACAATTATTTTCAGCTAACTGGAAGTGGGTGAAATACTGTCAAAAGTTATTTAATAAAATAAGCGAATCTGTTTCATTTAGAGTGCATTATTAGTTTACGTATAATTATTATCAATACAATTAAGAACCCTGTGGTGAATTTACTTGTACAATACGAGCCCCATTTGAGAAACAACACAAACACAAACGGCAAACTACATTCTTGTATGTCTACTATTAATGTTTAAGCAATAATCAATAAAAAGAATTAATGGCCATTTTCACATTTAGTCAGTTACAAATATTTAAACATATATTTTATTACAAGTTGTATTTATTCATAAATTTTACTTCGATCGTGTGTTCCATAACACACGCCCCCCCCCCTTTTGAAGTGAAACTTCTTTGGGCTCGATAGGAGTAAAATCTCAAGGCCATGAAACGACACGTTTTTCAACGTTCTGTCTCGCGACGCGACGATAGGCTATGAGAATAGAAAAGCGCGCATGCGCATATCGGTATTACAGTCAGCTGTTTGTGACCGGCATCTCATACTGTAGTGCTAAATTAATTTTTTGGTTATATCTGTGAAATTGTATTAGAGTAAGTGTATTACAGTAAATGTTTATTTAACAACAATTAATATTTATTTAAGAGTGAGTATTAAAGAGAATA